CGGGGCCCTGGAGCGGCTGGACAGGGAAGCCAGGGAATGGAAAGGGTGAGCAGAGCCCTGGGGCAAAGAGACGCGGGAGAGCAGAGGGGAGAGGGAACGAAACGAGTCCTTTCTGTCGTTTCTGTCCGTGCCTTCGACTCCTACCTCGGAGGACGCGAGAACCCTGCACTGCTGGGCTCCAGGACGTCTCCCTGTGGGTACCCTGTGGAGGGTAGTCAGTCTGAAAACATGATGAAAACAGCAACAAAAGATAACCATTGGCAACAGATCCTGTTTTCCTATATAGATTTTTTTTAATAGTCTTGTTAGAGTGGTTTATGGAAGTGTGTTTTTGTATGTGTCTACAGGCCAGGTGTTTTCATCACATGCTTTCAGACCGACTACCCTCCACATATCCCCCTCTTTCTAGATATCAGCAACAAAAAGATAACCATTGACAACAGATAGATACTGTTATTATAGATAGATGTTTTTTAATAGTCTTGTTAAAATAGTTTATAAAAGTGTGTTTTTATATGTGTCTACAGGCACATGTAAACGTGTTTTCCTCACATCTTCAGACTGACTACTCTCCACAGTACCCTGGCACTGAGCCAGGGCCCCACTCATGCTTTGACCAATGCCTCTGATATTCTCCAACACATTTGGCTTCTGTGGACCCTGTGAAGTAGATTCAGGTGTGCCAGGTGGCGGTCTAAGTCACTCTGAGCAATGGCATGGCTGGACGTGCTGCCGCCGGACAGGCTGACTGCACAGCAGAGAAGGCCCCAGAGGGTGTGCTCTCTGCCACCCCATCCTCAAAGCTGGCGCCGCACCCTGCAGTGTGCCAACCTTGGTTGTGGGCAGCCCTGCACGCGCCATGTCTGCGGGCCTGAGAGCCTCTTGTGTCCAGGCCTGGGCCTCCCATTTCCCCACTAAGCCCAGCATGAGCTTATAGGTAGAAAGGCATTAAGAGCTAAGCATGGGGACCAGCAGGTGGCATGGTGGTCGGGGCACTAGACTCCTACATAGCCTACCATAGTTCAATTCCCGGACCTGGCAGCTTCCCTTCTCATTCCTCCCACTCCATCTCTCTCTGGCCAAATTAAAAATAACAATAATAGGGGCCAGCAGGTGGCATGGTGGTTAAAGGCATTGGACTCCCACATGGCCGACCACGTCAAGACCCAGACCTGGTGGCTTGCTTTCTCACTTCCCCTCTCTCTCTCTGTCTCTTCCTGATCTGAAAAAAAAATAAAATAATAAAATAAAAAATAAATAAAAATATAATTTATTTATTTAATTCCATTCGTTATTATTATTTTTTAATTTGACCAGACAGACAGAGAGAGAGAGGGGAAGTGAGAAAGCAAGCCACCAGGTCTGGGTCTTGACGTGGTCGGCCATGTGGGAGTCCAGCTCCTTTAACCACCACATCACTTACTGGTCCCAAATTAAATAATTCTTTTCTTTTTTTGCTAAATAATTATTTAATTTAATTTATTCATTTATTTTAATTTGACCAGACACACACACATACATACAGAGAGGGAAAGTGAAAAAGCAAGTCACCAGGTCCAGGATTTGAACTGTGGTCAGCCATATGGGAGTGTCCAGCATCTTAACCACCATGCCACCTGCTGGTCCCCAAATAATTCTTTGTTTTAAAATTTTATTTAGTTATTTTGATTTGACCAGAAAGGAACAGAGTTAGAGAGAGGGAGGGAAAGTGACAAAGTAAGTTGCCAGGTCCAGGACTTGAACCATGGTCGGCCATGTGGGAGTCCAGCATCCTTAATGACCACGCCACCTGCTGGCCCCCCTGAATTAACCAATTCTTAAAAAATAAAAAAGAAGAGCTAAGCATGGCACCTAGAGGCAAGGCTCTCCCCAGGAAAAGAATGGTTGTTAGTGGCCTTGATATTCTTTCTTCTCCACAGGTCCAGGCCTCTTGGTCTACCTTCACTTTGTCAAAACAGAACATTGGGCCATTGGAAAAGTCATGACGCATTTTTGCATAGAAAAATATGTCTTGACTTTTTCTTTTTTCTTTTTTAAAGAATTATTTTATTTAACTTTATTTATTATTATTTATCATTGTTATTTTCCAGTTTGATCAGAGAGAGACAGAGAGGGAGAGAGAGAGGAAGTGAGAAAGCAAGCCACCAGGTCTGAGACTTGAACCGTGGTTGGCCATGTGGGAGTCCAGCGCCCCTATCCACCATGCCACCTGCTGGCCCCCTGTCTTTACTTTTTCAATGACCCTATCGAAATATCTATAAACCACATACATCTCCCAGAGACCAAACATTATTGATAATTGAAATAATAATCAAAACTCATCCAACATTTACTCAGTGGTAGGGACTATGTAAATCATCTTACTTTATTACTATAAAAACAGACTTAAAGAAATGAAGCAGCTTGTCCAAGGTCATTTAGCTGATAGAGTTTGAAATTAAACTCTGACTTCAAAGTCCTTGTTATTAGTCACTTATGCTATATCCTGAAAAATGAATGCAACTCGAAGTTTAAAATTTCAACAACTTTGGGCCAACCTGTGGCATGATGGTGAAGGGAGCTGGATGGATCCCACAGGGCCAACTGTGTGGTTGGAGGTCTGGACCCAGCGGTTTGAGAACCATGCCAGACGCATGTGTGTGCATGACCAAAATCCTGAAAGGGAGAAGGGACTGCAGTGCATCCATTCCCCATGGGGTGTGCCTCCGCCTTCCTCTCTGGCTAGTGCACACTTGGAGAACTGAAAACATTCAAATGTCAACAACTTCTACCATTGTACCTACTGCACTCCCCACCCGGTAACTGCTAAGAATGTCTGTCTTTCTCCTCCAATAAAGTAAAAGACCCTCAAGGGCATATATGCTGCACATATGACCTCATTTGCTCCTCATCACCCTGTAAGGTAGGCATACTACCAGCCTTGTTCACAGGCTTAGTGGGGTCATCTGACGCCCCACGTCACAACTTCTACCATTGTACCTACTGCACTCCCCACCCGGTAACTGCTAAGAATGTCTGTCTTTCTCCTCCAATAAAGTAAAAGACCCTCAAGGGCATATATGCTGCACATATGACCTCATTTGCTCCTCATCACCCTGTAAGGTAGGCATACTACCAGCCTTGTTCACAGGCTTAGTGGGGTCATCTGACGCCCCACGTCACACAGCGGAAAGTGGTGAGCTGGAAAGTGAGGCCGGGCGGTGGACGCTCCAGTAGGACCCCACTACTTAACGGCAGCACTCTTGCCTCCCCAGCGGTGGCAGAAATGAATGAACTGGTGGTGTGGGCTGGAGGTCACTTCTCATACCCCTGAAATGACAGCTCATGAGCTGATGTGGTGAGGAGAGCAGGAGAGAAGGCAGAGAGAGAGGGTCTCACCCCTTCTCATGCAAATGGAGGAGGGAGGAATGAAGAGAAGCATCTGGGCCAGGCCGGGAAGGCTGAAGCGATTCATTAAACTGCATTCACAAATGGTTAAAAAGGAAAAAGAAATGCACATAATGCTATTTACTCTAGGTTTGGGTTGGGAAGGAGAAGCTGAGGGAGAAAATGACTGAATGGTTGTATAGTTCTCCGTGGTGAGAAAGTTCCCTGGAGAAAGTTCACACACCATTTTAGGGAGATTAGCCCCCATCTCCCTGATCTATGGGAGGGTCTAGGACGTCGGAGGGGGCCCTCCTGTTGTAAGGGAGCTGGATACAGCCTGGAAACAGGGCGCCAGCCACTGCGCGCAAGTTTAGAAGCTACCAGCTCTCTGTCTCTAGGGCGTTGCTTCTTGGAGACCTGCTCTGCCAGGCTGTGCCAGGCTGTGCCAGGCTCTCTGTGTCTCACTCGGATAATAGCCTGTCCTTGACA